GTCTGGGGAACGGAGAGGAAGCAGCAAACACGTTTGGGCTTTGACGTTTCAGCGATAGGCTCAGAAAAACTCAGTGTCTTTTCATGTCTATTTTTGGAAACGGGTTCTTTTCCCTGTGAAGGCTGGTTTCTCTGAAGCCAAAGGAACACATGGACTTCCAATACCGTGGAGACAAAAGACGTCACCAGGAGTGGGAGCTGTCCCCGCGCCAGAGACAAAGCCAACGCACGGAATTCCGCCCGATTTGGCCTGGGGTTGGGAAAGACACCGCCTAACACCAAGGGAGGAGCCACCCTTCATGGCAAGCGTCTCTGCCACTGGTCGCTTCTGGATGTGACGGCTGCTATTCAGGGCCCGCCGTCCCCTCACGGATACGCGAAGAAACCGTTTCTCAATCCCCCGCTCCCCCAACGCTGCGCCACACGCTGAAGCTCTGCATCTCTGCTATGGCGCTGGGGCAAAGTCGCAGACCGGCGTGGTTTCCCGTGTGGGGCCGACGCGTCCAGCACCGAAGCTCTGCATCTCTGCTATGGGCTGGGGCAAAGTCGCAAACCAGCGTGGTTTCCCGTGTGGGGCCGACGCGTCCAGCACCAGACTCGGCCCGGCCGGCCCTGATTCTGAAGGAAATGCGAGCGGCGTCCCCCCCTGTTTAAGAGGTGGCAACAGAAGGGGTGACTCAACAGAGAAGATGCCCAGCCTGGAAACACCTAACTCATTAACGAAACGCGGTGGAAACCCGTTCCTTACCGGACGTGGTGACTCGGCCTCTTGCTTGTGCGGAGGGTTGGCGCTGACCTGCCTCGGTGCCACATCCAGGTGGGTCCAGAGGCTGTGGCTCTTTGTTATTACTAAGTGGACTTTGCCACAATGTGACGAAATGAGGCAAGATGCCTTTGTGGCCAGCGGTAACAGATAAGATCTCAGTTCATCAGATTCCTACAGAACATCCACCCCGGGAAGAAAGTGTGTTTTTTAAACGACGAGAAAGAAAGCTTACTGAATTCTGTGCAGGCGAGGCCTTGGGACAGCGTGTCACAACCGTTCCTTCTACGTGGACATTCTCAACTTCTAAGTGGTTATCTAATGATTGATTTAAAAACCGAAAATGCTATTCAACAGACACTGAATCAACATTTTTAGAGTAGAAAATGCGGGCCATACATGTGTTCGCTCGGCTTATGAATATATCGGTTCTGCTTAGTGTATTTTTCATTTGTTTGCATAGAAAAATAGTCAAAGTATAAAAAAATACAGATGTATATATGTCGTGCACCATTGTCTGATACACCGATAAGAGGAAATGACCTCTCTTTTTCCACTCATTATTGTGGTTATAAAAAATATTGTCGATTTAATTTGGCATTGTAATAGGCAAACGAACACTTTGAAAACAAAAGCCGAACATTTTAAAACCACAAAATGGGCTTTTACTTCTTGTTACCCTTAGCAGATTGTTGGGTCTTCCTAGTTTCGAAGGCGGAAATAAAGACCCAAACCCTCCTGGTTTTCTCCATCCAGCTCGGTCGCGTCCATGCGAGGCACAGGCCCCGCCGGCTCTGATGATAGCGCTGGGGGCCAGGGGCCTCTCTGCCTGCGGAGAGGCCCAGACATGGCGGGGAAGCAGGGCTGTCACGGGGCAGAGGCACGTGTGGTGCTGGCCCCGGTCACACGGGCGAAGGCTGAGGTCTTCCTGGAGATGGATGGCAGCAGAACCCCACGTCCCTCCCTCCTGGCCGCCAGTCCAATTTTCTCAGCTATTTTATCTCCAGCATAGAAACACACTCTTGGAGAACTCTCCCACCGCTGAAAATCATATTCTTCCCGCAGAGATCCGAAATGTCGGTCTCACGTGCCACTTGGATTGCTCTCTACAACCTAACAGATAACAATCGAATTCCCAAACCATTCCTAGTCAGCCTAACTGCCCAGCCTCACCCCCGAAGGCTTCTCCGCCCAGAACTCTATTTATAGCAGGGAAGAGAACACCAGTTAATTCTTAGAAGAAGAATCAGTAACAGTTTAAGCCAGTAACAAAGTAGATCCTTTCTACTTAGGAGTCTTTTTTTAAAAATGATATATTTGTTGCACTTCCAAGTTTACAAGTAGCGTTAATTATCATTTTCTTACTAGGATGTAAAGAAGCCCAGCAAAGGCTGGGAAGTGTGACCGCCCAGGTCAAGCCGAGGTGAGCGGGCTTGGCGTGTCCGGACCGGCCCTCAGGATGCCACCACGGGGAAGGGAACACTGATAACCACGAGACAGGCTCTGCCAGGCTCTGGAAAGGAAGCTGCTTTGATGTTTTTACAGAACTGGAACTGCGACTCTCTCCATTTAACCTGTTTTTGACTTAGATGGAATTTAGACAGCTTCATCATAATTACAATTGTATGAAACATCAGTTGCTGGCAACTTGGAGTCATTCCCCCTTCAGGGACGAATGGCAGGCGGGGCTGAAATGTACCATCAACCAATGTTTTAAAGCTGCATTGTCCCACAGAGTCGTCCCTAGCCACGCGTGGCCATCAATCACTTGAAGAGTGCCCAGTTCAACTTGAGATGTGCTGTAAGGGTACTAACAAAGCAGCACAATGCCCCCCGAGCATCCTGGAACATTCCCGTGGACCCAGCCCCTGTGACCAAGCGGTCCACCCAGCACAGCAGTGCGGCTCGACTGCTTGACGTTTCGTGGTTCAGTTTTCTCCAGTTTGCTGCCAGAAACGATGTACACGAAAGAGTATTTATTAACTATCCAAGGTCTCTTTGGACGTGATGCCTGCAAATGTGTAGATGTCACACTTTAATATTTGACTTCGTAACTACCCAAGTGATCCAGATAGCATGTCCTTTGTTAATAGCAAATGATGTAAACTATTAATTATTTTAAAAAGGCCTATTAATGACCAAAGTTCTAAATTCACGATGCAATTCTAAACAGGTGACATATTTTAATTTGATACTAATGTGTGCTTATCATAAAAGGATAGAAAACGCAATTACCGTATCTGAAATGTCATAAAGTCAACACAAATAACTGTGTAGAGTTTTCTGTAAAATACACACACACACACACACACACAGCCAAATTTGCGTCAGAAAACATAAGCTTTCCTAGTTATAATTAAGAAGATTAAGACAATGTCAATGTCATCGGTGTTGGTACAGGAAGGAGAACTCTGCTGGTTTAGAAATGTTCTCCTTCTTATCTTATTGACGCCCCCCCCCCTCCCAATTTGGTCATTTCCTATTGGTTACAGAGTTTGTGATCTGAGAAGGTTTCAATGCATTTAAACATTAAACATTTGTTCCAGGAACTGCTAGGCTTCTGGAGGTTAAGAAGTAAGGACACCGATCACTGAATTCCAAGTTGGACACAGAAGACTTTTTTCTGACTGGTGTAGAGTATGTAAGAGACAAAGGAGAAATGCAGATAACACCACTGAAAATGGCAGCCAAATCAAGTTCCCGACTGTCTGTTGTACACATAGGATATTGCTTACAGCTCAGGTCATTTCCTGATTTTGAACTCAAAGTTAATGAATTTCTGGAACTCTTTGAAACTATACAATTCCCAGAATGCATCCTATCAGGAGAAAATGATTTCATTTTATCCAGCAAGTGATAAATATGACATCACTGTATTTTAAAAACCCTGCAAAACAAACAGTACCGTATGGTTCATTTTTTATCCAACAGCAAAGTAACAATCTGGCGTATTCTAATAAACTGCTGTTAGGTCTAGGAATATTTTTCTTTTTTTCTGTTACAACTGGTTTGCTAATAGATTTCTTTAGCTTTAGAGTTATAATTAGAAAACAGTTACTTTGCATAATCAAATTGTAATCGCTGTTTGGGTGCAATCCAACCAATTTAAGCATCAGTACCGCCCCCCAAAAAAACAATGTCTGGGAAAAAGAGAGTAACAAATGCCATGGTCCAATGATCTAGGTTATCTAATACTGTTTGCCTAATCGCTGAGTTGTTTTTAGAGGCTGGAAAGCAAGTGATATTAGAAATACCAATGTGTTTTAAAGGATCGCAGTTGTAAATTAAATATTCGTCGAGAAACACTAATGACGGTAAGAAAGAAAACAATTCGCTTCGGGCCAGAAACCTACTCTAGTTTTGGGTCAGTCGTTTGTCAAACGTGGGCTCCTAAGTGATCATTTAACATTTCCGAGTCTGCTTACTCATTTGTAAAATGGGAATTATCACATCTTACTATGATAGACACCTGTCAATCTTTGGGATGCCAAAAAAAATCTAGGTGAAATAAACGATAAAGCAAGAAAATACGTAAAAGATCTAACATGTATATTCTACGACTGTTTCATCGTCATTCTGCCGTAATACTGTCTGTCCTTCGGTTCAGTGCTACCAGATGTGGTTGAAGTAAAATTATAATGTGATAAAAGCCTTTGATATTTCAGATAAACCCTCTTGGCCCAGTTCCAAAGATCTGTCATAAAAGGATCACCATATATACACCAGAGACCATCAAACTTTTTCTGTAATGAGTCACACACAAATATTTTAGGCTTTGCAGGCCACCTATGATCTATGTCACACATTCGCCATTTTTTTTAACCCTCTAAAAAACATAAAATCACTCTTATCTCACAGGCCACACAAAAAGGGGAAATGTAGCCCGCAGCCACAGCTTTCCAAGCCCTGACCAAAGACTCAGTGTCCTTGCTGTTAAGTGGCTCTGCTCAGTCCTACATTCCACGTTAATTTTTTTTTTTTACATTTATTCTTTTGCTCTTTATTACTCATTTGCCAAAATCTAATCATTCTTTCCCAGAGCTGTAGTAGTTCCAACAGCCACAGCCTCAAAGTCACTTCTGAGAAGCTCGGTTTTGCACAAGCCACAGTAAAGGTTCTTGGCAGAAAACCGGTCCCACGCCTGTCTGCCTGTCTGTCTCAGAGCGGTGATGGAGACCATCACACCTGCCCGCCCCGACGCTCTGGGGAGACACGGAGAAGGTCTCCCCGCCCCTTACCTTGCTGGGGGGACGTCGATGTTGGAAGAAACGACTTTTCGCTTTTGCTCGAGGAGACAGACGGAGCGGGTGTTTTCTTTTTCATGGTCGGCTGTTTTCACGTCTTCCTCCATGGCCGAGGAGAATGAGTGCTGACGAGACATTTTTTTGCTAGAGTCACGTTTTAGGTCCTCTGGTTGAAATGTGAAGGTCATGTCCCGCTTAACGCTCCCCACCTGTGAAACGAAACGCAAACATTCTCACTCACGCGAACATCGGCTTCGCCCGACGACACGCAGGTGGCTGCGAGGAGACAGCCCGCCCTGCCCTCCGGGTTCATCTCGAAGATTTCAAAGTTTAAATGGGAAAAATGAAACAGAAATAAAGTCACGGGATAGTCTACGGCCACGCCACCCTGAACGTGCCCGATCCCGTCTGATCTCGGAAGCTAAGCAGGGTCGGGCCTGGTTAGTGCTTGGATGGGAGACCACCCAGGAAGACCAGGTGCTGTAGGCGTAAAAAAAAAAAAAAAGAAATAAAATCACGGACACGATAAAGTAATATACATTCGGTGCATCTGCCGTCATAATGCAAACGAGAAGCATCACAAGCATGGAGAAGCCTTTTAGGTGAGCAAAACGTTTGAAGGCTTGAAAGCATGAGATTTCTAAGAAAAAATCTAGAAATTTAAAACATCATTGTTTTTTCTTCTACAACTGAGAAAACTCAAGTAAATAAATTCTCAAATGTTTTGTGCTGATTTTAACAGAAGAGAGGTATTAACAGAAAATCAAGCCTTAGCTTTGACTATGATTACCGACTGTAACCATACTCTTCAGTTTATAAAGCTGCTTTTTTAAAAAATAATTTCTTTCTTTTTAATTTCAGGCATGAAGAATTGTTTTTTTATTCTTCTACAGCAGTTAAGTTCTTAATGATGATTTAAAAAGTCTTCTTAATTTTCTTACACTCGTTGACGAAATACAGTGATGCTTAAGGTTTAAGACAAACATAAAATGAAACCTCAGGGAATCGAATCTGGTTATTTCAGAATTCGGGAAGGCCGACCGAGACTGAACCTGAAGAAAGGTTTTGGTGAGGTGACCACGGGCATCGTAAATGAGGTCTGGAGCAAACCTGCTCCAGCCTTAAGGGTACAAAGAGGAACCGGTCTGTCTGGAAGCCGGCAGCCTTGCTGGTGGGAAGCGCACGGTGCAGAATACGCCCGTGAGACATCGCACGTCTGCACGACAGCCTTCCCTCTCGGGGAGGTCGTTTGTGGAGTCAGCAAACCTTCGCTCAGCCGCTCAGACGACAGCCTTCCCTCTCGGGGAGGTCATTTGTGGAGTCAGCAAACCTTCGCTCAGCCGCTCAGATAGGAGATCTGCTTATTTGTTTTTTTTTTAATTGTAGGTAGGAGAAAAAGCGTTAAGAGACGAGATCGAATAGATTTAGAACGCTAAAGGCGACGGCCACAAACAGGAGGCATTTTCAGAAAGGAAAAACTCCGAGGCATGTGTGTGTTGGAGTCACAAGACCGGCCCTCATCTGAGAAATGCCAGGGCCCGGGGCTGACGCGTGCCTTGGAATCCACCTGGCTGGGAGGACCTTTCACAGGAGCTGAGCCCGAGCCCCCTCATCCCGTAGGGTTAGCCCGAACTTGTCAGGGGGAAGAGACCTTCCCACTGGTCCTGGCAGACCCACCCCAGCTCCACAGGAAAACTGTCCGCCACTGGTGGTCTGCTTGTCATCTATTAAAAAGCTACCACGTGTCTCAGAGTGCATTAATGAAATACGAGTCCCAGAAAAGTAAGTGCTTTTAAGAAGTGTTTGAATCGTCATCAGCGCCACAGGAAAGAATAAGAAAACAGTTCGAACTTCCAAAAACGCAATGAATGTTCCATAAAAATGTAGTTTGAAAAATCAACAAACGTAACTGCAAATATTTTCAAAATCCACCCCAAATCGCTTTCCATGCAACTCCTTCTGCCTGGAGGTGGGAGGGAGAGCGGGCTGTTCTTTTCTTCTTGGTACCAGCTGGTTCTCAACGGAAGGACGTTACAACAGGAATAAGCCAAACGCAGCATAACGATGAAAACAAAGGCCTGACTGATGATTATGAATAGTTTCTCCCTAAGTGTCAAGTATTACATTAATTAAATATTTAAGCAGCCATTAGTGTTAGGTTGTAGCAATAATTGACATCCTTACCTCCCTCGGGGCCAACTGGACTGGTTAAATGAATTCAGTCCAAAGAGAGATGGGGCTGGGAGAACATTGCAGGAAGCTCAGCTTTTATCTTAAAAAATTTAGGGGGAAAAAAAAAACACCCAAGCATCTAAAGCAAATTAATACAAAGTAGAATAAATTTCCTACAGAAATGACGCTATAATTGTATGTCATGCGCTTAGCCGAGACTTCATAATAAAACAAATTACAGCACCATTCAACAACGTAAGCTATAAATCTTCCCTGACACATTCTAAACGAAAAAACTTATGTCTCAGGGGAATGAGGGAATTTCAGCCACGTGACGGATCTCAAAGACTATTTAGCTCAGACTCCTTGTTTGAGAGTGCAATTCAAATGAGTTAGAAACGACCAATGAGGCCAAAAAATGTAAAGAAGAGGAAGAGATTCATACACGTGGAGAGCCGGCTTCCACTGTAAGGCCGGTGGAAGGAACGGCGGCATTCGTGGGCGTTCATTCCGTCACGACGCTTTACGTGGACGTATTACATGTTCTTTTAAATGTCCCTTTATTCATATGAGATATGAGATTTAAAAGATCTTTTAAAAAGGAGAGTTCACAGGAGAGGAGAGGAGAGGGAGGGCAGGGAGTCTGGTCTCAGGAGCCGGGCTTGGAGACGGCCGGGGACATGGGCCGGTGGCTGGGGCGTGGTGGACACAGCGGCATGTGGGGACGCGGAGGCGCGGGCGAGGCCGGTCCTGCTGGGTCCGCAGGAGACACGCAGCAAGAGAAAACTCCGAGCTCCTGTTAGATGAGCAGAAGACAGCGGCTAAAGGAAGACAGGACCCCACCGAAATGAAACTTCCAGTAAGGACAAATCTCTACAGACAGAAAGCAGAGCAGCGCTTGCCTGGGGCAGTAGTGGGGACTTACCGCACATGGTCACCGGGAAACTTTCTGGGGTGATGGAAATGTTCTAGAACTAGACCGTACTGATATCTGTAAATTTATTTAAAATCACCGAACTCCGGTCTTACAATGGGATGAATGTATGGTGTGTAAATTACACCTCGATCATACTGTTATTTTAAAAAAAAAGGAAGAAAGGAAGAAAGAACCAAACCAGGAGTAACTGGGGGGAAGGCGTCCTCCCAAGGACCACCAGACCAGACATGGGAAAAGTAATGTGCCACAGAGAGGCAGCCGCCGAGCCTAGGGGGCTTTCCTTATTTATTTTAAATAAGGGGGCCCCGTGTTTATGCCGGGCCGCCACTAACAGTTGTGTGTGTAGGTCCTGCTCGCCAGCCCGGTGGGGCTCCAGCCCAGTCACTACTTGAGCCAGGTCCACAGGCTTCTTCACCCACAAAGACAGACCTTTCTCCAATTTCTCCACCTGCTGAGAACTTTTAAACTTCTCCTGCCCAAAGAAGGTGTTCTTGTTTATTTTCCCCCCCATGTGTACAATGCTCAGGTGACAAAGGAGGTCTTCCGGTGATTTACCGGGCCTGGGCTTCCTTCTTTGAGGCCGATGTCGAGGAATTGTGTGACTCGTTAGTATGAGCTGACGTTTTTGGTAGTGGAGAAGCCGAGGCAGTCTGAAAGTGCTCGGGCTCTCGAGGAGGCGGAGGGGTCGACGACAGAAGACAGCCGGAAAGGACGAAAAAGTCTGATGGGATGGAGAGACGCGATGGCAGCGAGAGGAAGGGGAGGCAGGACGTGCCCGGGGCTGAGGAGCCAGAGGGATGGTCCCTTCCGCCGGTGAGCGCGGCTTCTCCGTGAGGACCGGGGAGAGGACAGGACGGGACGCGGGGTAGAAAAGGACACACCTTCCCTGTGAGTGGTGGCAGGCGGGGCTGCTGTGGCTCCTCAGAAGCACGCTGGCCTTCCTGGCACAGGGGTCATTGCCAAACCAGCCGCCGAGAACACACGTAGTCCAGAAAAAGCCCTAGACACTGTCCCCCGTGTCCGTGAAGAGTCGCCCAACGCAGGGGGCAGATGGGGTGACTGCCAGCAGGGCTCTGCTTCTGTCTCAGCACTCGGAGCTCTTAGGACGCGAAGGGGGACATCGCCTGCAAATGAGTGGCCACGCACATCGTCAAAGACGATGATTCGATTCTCGATGCCAGAATGACGGACTCTTGGCAAGACGACACGAATCTTGCAAGATCAAGAAGGATTCTCTTGTCAGGAGAGTCGCTGACCTGAAAATATGGCTTTAACCTGAAATCTGAGCAGGCAGAAGGAAAACGTCCAGATACAAGCGCCGAGCTAGAAGCCCGTGTGACAAATAATGAAGAAAAACAGCAAGGCTGTCGACTAGTGATTTTTGAGAACATACAAGGCGGAGATTTAGTAATTAAAAAAAAAGAAAGAAAGAAAAAAGGATCTCGTGCACACAAAAGGCCTAACCTGACTGCTCCCACAACGGGACTGGAAGTTGGAAGGCACCGTGTGTGACTCCCGTTGTCACTGGACATTGACAAACTGGAACAAAGGGTCCATCAGGAAGGCAAAGGGTCTCACTGGGAGGAGCCGGGAACGCTCTGTGTACAAAACAGGGGGCTGGCGGCCCACGCAGCTGCTCTTCGATGCAGGGGACGCCCCCCGAGGAGAGGGCTCGGGCTGCTCTGTGTCACCGGGCCGGGACCCCCGGTGCCCGCTCTGCTTCTGGCCTGAGGGTTCACTCTCCTCTTTCGAGTTCCCTATTCTTCCTCCAAACTGTTATGGGGGCAGAACGGGGGCAGAATCTCGGAGACTTCCCAGTCTCGAATGTCTTGTTTTTTCACTATCTTTTGTAGAGTTTAGACGTTCTTTTCCTTTTTAGAAATGCTTATTCGTTACAAAATACACACCGGCTAAAACTCCAATTAAGAAGTGTACGAAAGAAAGTGGGGTAAGCGTTCGATTCCTCTGCTCTCTCTTTCCAC